TAATAATAATTCTTTGTTGTATATATAAATTGTATTAATATGTGTTTTCAAAACGGGTTTTAATATTATGGTTAAATAATAGTTAATTGTTACTAGATCATCTGGTAAATAATAATATATTACTAACAAGGTTGAACGACAGTTTATTGTTACGCAACTATCTAGTAAGTAATAATAATAGTTCTTATAATAATGTATTAATATTTGTTTTCTTTAAAAAACGGGTTTACTATTATGGCTGAATGATGGTCTATTGTTACTTGACCATCTGACAAATAAAAAATATATTACTAATAATAATTCTTGTTGAATATATAAATTGTATTAATATGTGTTTTCAAAAACGGGTTTTAATATTATGGTAAAATGACAGTTAATTGTTACTCGATCATCTGGTAAATAATAATATATTTACCAATTATAATTCTTCTTGTATGTATTAAATTTTTTTTTCTTCAAAAAATTGTTACGCGACCATCTGGCAAGTAATAATATATTACTAATAATAATTCTTTGTTGTATATATAAATTGTATTAATATGGGTTTTCAAAACGGGATTTAATATTATGGTTAAATGACAGTTAATTGTTACTCGATCATCTGATAAATAATAATATATTACTATTAATAATTCTCATTGTATATAATAACATTGTATAATATAAAAACAGTTTATAGTTAATTGTTACGCGATCATCTGGTAAGTAATAATATATTACTAATAATAATTCTTGTTGTATATAATAACATTATATTAATACGTGTTCTCAAAAACGGGTCTTATTATTATGGTAAAATGACAGTTAATTGTTACTCGATCATCTGGTAAATAATAATATATTACTATTAATAATTCTCATTGTATATAATAACATTGTATTAATATTTTTTTTTCTTCTGATAAGTAATAATAATAATATATTACTAATAAGGTTAACGACAGTTCGTTATCACGCAACTATCTAGTAAGTAATAATAATAGTTCTTATAATATTGTATTAATATTTGTTTTCTTTAAAAAACGGGTTTACTATTATGGCTGAATGACGGTCTATTGTTACTTGACCATCTGACAAATAAAAATATATTACTAATAATAATTCTTGTTGAATATATAAATTGTTATTAATATGTGTTTTCAAAAACGGGTTTTAATATTATGGTAAAATGACAGTTAATTGTTACTCGATCATCTGGTAAATAATAATATATTTACTAATTATAATTCTTCTTGTATGTATTAAATTTTTTTTCTTCAAAAAATTGTTACGCGACCATCTGGCAAGTAATAATATATTACTAATAATAATTCTTTGTTGTATATATAAATTGTATTAATATGGGTTTTCAAAACGGGATTTAATATTATGGTTAAATGACAGTTAATTGTTACTCGATCATCTGATAAATAATAATATATTACTATTAATAATTCTCATTGTATATAATAACATTGTATAATATAAAAACAGTTTATAGTTAATTGTTACGCGATCATCTGGTAAGTAATAATATATTACTAATAATAATTCTTGTTGTATATAATAACATTATATTAATATGTGTTCTCAAAAACGGGTTTTAATATTATGGTAAGATGACAGTTAATTGTTACTCGATCATCTGGTAAATAATAATATATTACTAATAATAATTCTCATTGTATATAATAACATTGTATTAATATTTTTTCTTCTTCTGATAAGTAATAATAATAATATATTACTAATAAGGTTGAACGACAGTTTATTGTTACGTAACTATCTAGTAAGTAATAATAATAGTTCTTTTAATATTGTACTAATATTTGTTTTCTTTAAAAAACGGGTTTACTATTATGGCTGAATGACAGTCTATTGTTACGTGACCATCTGGAAGTAATAATATATTACTAATAATAATTCTTTGTTGTATATATAAATTGTATTAATATGCGTTTTCAAAACGGGTTTTAATATTATGGTTAAATGATAGTTAATTGTTACTCGATCATCTGGTAAATATTAATATATTACTAATAATGTTGAACGACAGTTTATTATACGCAACTATCTAGTAAGTAATAATAATAGTTCTTATAATATTGTATTAATATTTGTTTTCTTTAAAAAATGGGTTTACTATTATGGCTGAATGACGGACTATTGTTATTGACCATCTGGCAAATAAAAATATATTACTAATAATAATTCTTTGTTGTATATATAAATTGTATTAATATGTGTTTTCAAAACGGGTTTTAATATTATGGTTAAATGGC